AAAAGGAGTAAGAGATTAGACTACTACTTACCCTATAAAAGAAACTAAAATTATATATTTTAAATAAAAAAGATAATATAGGTAATTATAAATACTTACTGCTAAAACTATTAATATTAAAGATTATTAATAGGGAGATAATTTAGAATTCTCTAAAGCTTAATCTTCTAGAATTACTTAAATAGCTTTAGTAGAGAGATATCTTTATATTAAAAAAGATTAATAATTTAGAGACTAATTAAGCTAAAAACTCTAAATAGATTATAGATAATAAGAGTCTATTATAGAGATAGAATTAGATTTATATCCTAGATAAATATTTACTAAAATAAGAATTATTATAAATTTATTATAATAATTTATATACTAGCTATTAAAGAGTTAAAACTATAGAAAAACTATTTAAATAAAAGTTTTATTAGCTAAGTATATAGAATAATATATAAGAATATATAAAGACCTATAATATCTATAAAAAGAATAGAGTTTTTAAATATAAGCTATATAAGCAGTTAAGCTTACTACTTATAGCAGAAAGACTCTAGCAGAATATATTAATAGATTTTATTATTAGCCTGCTATTATTAACTTAATAAGAAGTTAAATATAATATAATCCTAATAGTTATAGACTAATACTCTAAGATAGCTTTATATATTTTAATCTAAGAAATAATTATAGCAGAAGACTTAGCTAACCTAATAATAAAAAGAATATATTACTAGTTTAATCCCTTAAAATTAATTATTTCTAATTAAGGATTAGTATTTACTAGTAAATACTAGACTAAGCTTTATTAATATATATAAATTACCTAATTAATAAGTACTACTTTTTATCTACAGATAAATAAGCAGATAGAGCACTAGAATTAGACCTTAAAGTATTACTTAAGGGTATATATAAATTATTATTAAGATAACTAGGTATTATTATTAAATGCAGCAAAGTATATCTATAATAATATAAAGTATTTTACTATTAGATACTTACTATTTAAGGCCCTTTATAGCTTTAATCCTAATAATTAGGATAAATATAATATAAGAATAAGATTAAATATTCTTGCTATTAAAAAATAACTTAAAAAATTATTAAATATTAGGGTAAAGTTAGAGAAGTACTTATAATATATTATTAAGGTATAAATAAAGTACTATAATAAGAAATATATACTTAAATTATATAAGATAAGGGATTAAGTTCTTCTATTAATAAAGAATTTATAAATTAATTAATTAAATAAGAAGTTAAACTACTAATTTTCTAGACCTTATAAAGTAATAGAGATAATTAAAAAGTAAGTATACTAATTATAATTATTGAAGAGCCTAAATAGAATATATCTAGTATTCTATATATCTCTACTAGAACTTTATAATTAATAAGAAAAGATAAAACCTAAATAGCTAAATCTAGTTTTTATTAATAGAGAACAGAAATAAAAGATAGAAGAAATCCTTAATAAATAGACCTTTTATAGGAAGAAATAGTTTTTAATAAAATAAAAAAGATATCTTTTATATAAAAACTTATAGTAAATATTAAAAGATTTTAAATATATAATTAAAGCTTTAAAAGAGTATTATAATAAAAACCTTAGTAAGGCTTTTAATATAGGTAAACTATTTAAATAAAGGTAAGGTAAAGAAGAGCTAAGAATTAAAAAGTAAAGTAAGATAAATAGGTAATAATATTTTTTTTCTTATTAGGTTTTTTAACTATTATTAAATATATTATTATATATATTACTCTTTCTCTAATTTTTTTATAAAATTTAAGAGTTTTAAAAAAAATATAGAAGAAAGAAATCCTAATAAGAATAATTTAATTTAACTAAGCTAGCCCTAGCTAATAATCTAAATATAGGCCTATAAAATTATTCTATTTAGCTATTTTATTACTATAAAACCCCTTAATAATATCTTTCTCCTCCTTATTAGAGAATAGAGGCAGTCCCTATAACTAGGCAAATATATTTACTATATATAAGATATTACAGTTTAATAAATAGATTATTTAATATAATTTTTAAAGAAGATATAATAATTTTAATTTAAAGTATAATAAGATTAATAGAATAGCAGTAGTATTAAGCTAATATTTAATAGTCTTAAATATAGATTTCTATATATATATCTTTATAGAGGAAATATATGTATTTATAGCTTTATTAAAAGACTCTAAATTATTTAAGAGATAAGCCTCTTAGCTAAGACTCTAAATATAAGTTAATTTAGCCTTATATATTAATAGTATAAGAATATATAGCTTATAAAGGCCCTTATAATAGAGATATTTTATATTAATATAAGGATAAATATATTATTACTTTAGATTCTGCACTAGGGCCTTTAAATAATAAAGATATATCTCCTATAGAATAGGAGAAAAATCTTTAATTAAACCCTTTAGGCTAAAAAAATCTATAATAAGGTCTATCTTAAAAGTAATAAGATAATCTATTATTATATTAATATTAGTAATAATAATTAATATTAGTAATAATAATTAATATTATTATCTTAATAAAAGCTAGATTAATCTATAGAGGAGGTATTTTAATAATAATCTTAACTTTAAGAATAGGAGTTATAATAATATCTTAAGTTCTTTAAATCTTTATGCTAGGGACCTTTTTTACTTTTAACCTTCTTTATAATTTCTTAGCTAATTAAATAAAAATTTCTTTTACTATAGGCATAATAAGAATAGTATTATTATAATTATATTTTAATCTTTAAAGAGAATATAATAGACTAGCCTATACCTCCTTATATATAAGAGAAATTATATTGCTAAATATAAATTAATCCCTATATATTTTAAGTAGGAAATATTTCTCTATTAGGGGGTCTTCTATAGATAATCTTAATAAAGATATTTTATTACTATTATTAATAGCAGTAAATAGAATAATCTATAAAAAAAGAATTATTAATTCTAATATTATATTAATAATTAGAGATATAGAAGAAGGAGATAGCTTATTAAGCTACTTATTATCTATATTAAGCTAATAATTAAACAGATAATCTTTAATTAATAGCTATAATAGCTTAGGGCTAGCTATAAAGGCCTTATTAAAAGAGCCTAAAATAAATAAAATATACTTAAAGCGCTTAAGAGGTATTATTATATTAATTAGCACTATTATATAAATCTAAAGGATTATAACTTATATTAAGCATATATATAGGACCTATAAAGAAAATAATTTAAAAATCCTATTTTTAATATATCTGTATAACTATTAGCTATTTCTATATTTAAACTATTAAAAATAATATTAAATAAGCTATAGAAATAGGAAAAGAATAACTTAATATATAGATAGGAGGATAGAAGTTAATTATTAAAAAATAGAAATACTCTTAATCTCTTAAATAAAAATATTAAAATAAAGCTAATATTAGATAAATTTATATAATAAGTATATCTTAACAGTAACTTATTACTGTTATTATAGCTATACCTAAATATTTAAACCTATATAATAAACTTTATATAGCTTAAGATAAGCCTTTTAATAAGGGGGGATATTATTATAAACTAGGGCTATAATACTTAATCTAGACCTGCTAAGACCTAGAATAAATAACTTAGGATAAATAATAAAGGATAATAAGATAATTAAATCTATATATAATAGTTAAATCAGCTAGTTATAGATAGAACTATTAAGACTAGGTTATTTAAATAACTTAATAAAACAGATAGACAGATAAATAATCCCTAAAAGAATAGAAGTTAGGGATTAGTAATTTATTCTAATTACTACTAAACCTAACCTTTAACTCTACTATATATAGACGGCTACTTGCCTGTGTCTCTACCTCTTATCTCATATTCTGTTTAACTAATTCGACTAGTTACCTCCGATAAAGAGCTTTCTTACCCTAGCTCTTTACATTAAGAAAAATTCTAAACTAGCTAGTATTCTATAAATGGGCCTATTCTTATCCTGTATAAGAAGATAAGTATTGTATAGATTATTCAATATGCATTAGATTTAGACTAGATTTGGATTTAGCCCTTAAACAGTTTAAGATATCTTAGTTCTTATTTTTGGCTACAGTAGTAAACTAATTAACTAGGTCGCTTTTTTCTTTGCCCGATTTAGCAGAATCAGAATATTATTATAATATGTAGAGTATAACATAGCCGGTTAAGAAAGAGACGAAGCTATAAGAATATTATTTATGCATCGTTTAACTAGGGTATAGTTAGTTATCGAGGACTCTAGTTTTAGCGATTCGATTAATTCGATTATTTAGGTAATTGTTTATCGTTCAATGTTAGTTAAGCCCCAACCTACTAACCTAGTAATTCTAGTGTAGAGTATATACTACTCCCCCCGGCTCCTTTAAATTATTATTACTTGAAAGGAATAGTAAAAACCTTATATATAAATCTTGCGGTTTGGGGCCCTTTTTCTTTCTTTCTTTTTTTCTGTCGTCGTTGCACCGCTAAATCTCGAGCGTTTGTTACTTAGATTTTTTGTTTCAAGTTTCTATGTACGTATATTAAAGGCTTATTTATGGTATACTTAGTCCGTGCGTGGATAAGCTAGCAGAATCTAGCTTACTAGATAGATAAAATCTAATTTTAGATTCGTTAGTTTTTTATTTAAGTACAGTTACATACCTAACTACTGTATGTAGTAGTTAGTGGCATGGCTAACTAGTGAGTTTATACTCTGTAGATAACTACTCTATCCGTGTATTAGTTAGATAGAGCGCACCTGAGTTTTTTGAGTTAGAACTCCAAGTTTAACTACCTAGGTAGTTAGTTGTTTTAGCCTACTACTGACTCCCTCTACTCTGCTTAACCAGTTAGGGATATCTACTTTGATCTCCTCCGTGAGTCCGTACTGTCTGGTATAAGTAAAGATATAGCAATCTAAACAGACGGCCAACGCTCATATAATATATGCAAGATAATCCATCTCTTATGATTTTGGTGCATTTCTCTCATTATTCGACGACTCTCGTCCCCTCTCACTGCGCCTCAGGCCAACAAGTAGTAATACTCCCATCATCCCCATCCACCGACAACACCACATTAGCTCCGTATTCAAGCGGATTACCCTCGTAAATGACAAAGTCTCTCGAGACGGGGATGTCGAGAATGTGTTCGATATTCCGCGATACCAGATTCACAGCAGTTTGGGAGGAGAGTCCAGCATCTTTAGCGGCCCATGATGCTTCGATTCCGAGACTGTGAAGGTGCCAGTCGCCTGATACAAACATTAGTTCGGAAGTTAATTGACCGAAAAACAGAGTATGGGGGGAATATATGTACTGTACATACTTTCAGGAGGAAAAGCAAGACCGAAAGTCACGTTTGCTTCTGAGAGGACTTTGATTGGAGACTCTGTGAGTGGAGGTCCAGTCAATGTGTCCTTCTTCTCCCATGTATCAGGCGCTCCGTGTGCGGCGGTGAATATGAGCGGGATGTCGGCCGCAGCGAGTTCTTTTGCGACCTGTTCATGTGTTGTGTCAGTGTGTTTTGACTATTATTGGTAGTGAATGCTATGGATCTTTACAGATGGAGCCTCGCTTGCTCCGTAAATCACTATCTTGACTGCTCCATGGTCTCTCTTCAGCTTCACGAGCTGTAATATGTCATGCTAGTAGGAGAGATTTAGTTTAAGGTTGTATACTTAATAGGGGCTGGGATATGGTATGTACAGTACCTTGTTCTGGCTGTGTATAACAACGGGAATTTCACCATTTGCGGCTTTTCCGTAGATGGTATCTTTCCCTTTGTTTTCGAATAGGATCTTGCGAAGTTGCGCGATTGCAGTCGATACGGTGGGTGTGTCTTCAGATCCTGTCGTGAATATTACTGTAAGCCTCAACTTCCAAGGAAAGGTAGTCAGATTTGAATTGTGGATACCTTTCGATTCTTGACTGACCACGAAATGCAGCGCTACGTCATCTTGAAAGATTCCGCCATCCAGAATACTCCTATTTTGACCGGTTTTGATACCCACGCTCACTCCACTCAGAAACCCGTCGGGGATCGGTGCTGTAACTGCTCTTGTCACTCCGCCAATGCGTGCTCGATCGAAAGCCCTGCCCTCAGGATGGACACCATATTTGGCATAAACGACGTTCTCAGGGTTCAGCGGATCCAGCTTTGGACTCACAGGTCCGTCGCTGGTGCTCTTCTCGGATGGTATCTCAACAAGACCCAGGGTAGTGGAGAAAGCCGTCAGACCTGGAAGCACATGTCCGTCTTGAAGAGCAATGACGTTGCTGCTCGGGGTCGTGGTAGAGATACATTCATCGTACTTACCTAGACAAGTTATCTTTCCGGAATTAATAGCAATGGCAAGACCTTCGCCCGATGGGGCTTTTGGGTGTGGTAAGTCTAAATATGACTTGCTGATTCCTGTGATCAGCACGTTTTGCGAGTTCTTGATTCGCGAGCAGAGCTGGTCAACTCCTTTTGGGGGGTCGAGGCGCATATTTGGCTTCCCAGTATAAGTATTTACTGATTGAAGCCGTTCCGTAGAAAGAGTTGGTCTGCCGTCAATGTACACTTGCAACGGAGTGGCTCCCACTGAGAGCGGATGCGAGTCCCAAATGACAAGGTCAGCATCATAGCCCGGTCTGACATGACCGATGCGGTGGTCGACGCCCAGTGATTTTGCTGGTACACTCGTCACAGAGCGTAGCGCAGCCAACTCGGGGAGGCCGAACGAGTGTGCAGTGGCGGCTTGAGATCTGCAGATATATATCAGCATAGGAATTCAGTAGAGCATAGATGCACACACGTACAATAGGTATTTGGCATTCGTGCCTTCTCCAACATGGTCCTTTTCTTCAGTCAGTATCTCAGTGCTGAAGATAGAAGATAGCGCTATAATCTTACTGATTTGTATGCCACGGGTATGCCATGCTCGTGAAGTATCTTGCCAGCTTGTAAGTTAGATTCGTAACCCTCGACTTTGTACAATCCGAAGTCTGCAAATGTCGCGATGGTTATATTTCTGTGATATTTGTTAAAAAGCGTCTTCTTTTTGAAAAGCAGTGTTGATTCCACATACTGTCCACTAGCCTTGATCAGCTCCGGTACTTTCCATGAACTTAGCGAATGATGGAATGCCTGAATCCGGAATCCAAACTCCTCGCTATGCAAGATCATGTCTTCCATATCCTCGGGCTCATAACAATGTATGTTAACTCCAACTTGGCCCCTCAAGATTCCCACAGTAGAGTCCAATTCCAATTCTTCTGGGAGGCCTCGATGTCCATCAGGGCCGGGCCCCACAAGAGATGATATAGCAGCTAAATCACCACTCTCTTTGGCCGCAGCGGCAGAGAGACACCAGGTGTCTTGTCTATCCCGCAGATCCTTGGCGCGCGCCAGGTGCTCTCGGAGAATCCATGCATTTCCCATGCGGGTATGGCCATATACTCGTCTAGGATTCTCGCCACAAGCCATTTTCATATATCTTCGTCTTCTGTCTTTGGGGACGCCATGCTCCAAAAGCAACTCTTCCACATTCTCTTCTCCATGGTCACCGGCTTTCAGAAAGTTCTTGACAATCACAGCTTCTCCGCCCATGATATTCGCTGATCCGGGAAGAATCAGTGACGACGTCACCCCTCCAGATGCAATGACAGTAGTGGCGGGATCGTAGGCCTTTATGGAGTCCAAGGCCCGAACAAAAGGTGTCAGGGGCCCGGTGGAGGGATGTATTTCATTGATATCGTCAGTTGCTTGAAAGCTCGGCCAGCTCCCAACGAGATGATGGGAGTGCATATCGACAAGTCCGGGAGTCACAATGAGCCCGTTCAGCTCCTGCACGATTGCGCCTTCGATATGCTGTGCAGAAGCAGTACTGGTGATTTTGCGGACCACACCTCTTTCGAAGAGGATGTCAACTGATTCTTGAAACGAATCTCCATCAAACAATGTCGCATTTCGAAGAAGCACTGGCTTTGATTGTCCACTGAGAGAGCTCCAGCGAGGATTCTCGCGATCCGCTGACACAGGAAATGTATACTGTGGAGGAGGTGCTCTCAACACTGCACATCTGGTTAGACCCGCGTCCAGGAGATTCCAATCAACCTGCGATAATTGTGAGCCGGAGGTAATGAGGTCGATTATTCTATGCGTTCCCAATGCTCTCCAGTACAGAAAAGCCACTGCTATCAATAGCAGGTATGGAAGTAATAGCCGGCTGCGAAGGGCCTTGTGAGGCAACTTCACAGGGAGATCGGGAAGGCCCATGGTGACTATTTCAAGATGCAAGACGACAGAGAAGATCAAGAGATGCCAACGAAGGCGATGGAGTGGCTTCTTGTATTTAGGTACTCTAGTGTACTTCGTCGCTTGTGCCATTGTTCCTCCGCATTATCTTATCGGCTCCAGACCCGCCCAGAACTAGCCATTTCAAGAAGGTCAAAATGATCCTTCTCAACAGGCGGAGAGATTCACATTCCAGTTCAGATCAATGCGCAAGGACAGCGGATCGGACCGTCAATGATCGTAGTCGTTTCCCCGTGCTGCTTGGATGTGCTTAACTCGTGCCAGGTCCCGATTATCTTTCTCAACGCGATAAGTTTATTTTTATATCTATGAATCAATCGTCCCTAGCATCTGGTCTACTCGTGAATTGGAAATGTTCCAGAATACGTAGAGCCCCACATGCACACCGCGTTATATTGGCCATGAGGCTCAAGGCCAAAGAGGTAATTAACATGTTCGAAGGCTGTATGACGATCGTTTCAAATAGAAAAGACTCCTGGAACAAATCTGGATGATTGGAATACATTCGATCTCCGGAGAAGAGACGGGGTTCGGGATGCACCTGGGAAGGCTATTCGGGAATTTACTCCTATGGTCTTGTACACGATACAAACATTATCTGGGACGAGAACACGGACAGGTGCTGGATAATTGACCCGGAAGGTGCAGATTATACAGACCAGCCCCGGTCTGACTGGACTGAATGGAAATCGCTGCTGGTGATATGGTAGAAGGGATAGACCCAATGCTTCCGTGAATATGATGAATGTCCAGACGATGATGCACTTTATGCGCTCGGAACTCGAACGAAAACAAGACAGTCTGAGAAAGAATACTTCTTTTGTCGAGCGCACGTTGCTCTTATGGCAGGCGTGGCCGACTAGACCTCTCGAGACAGCGGATTTATTCTCGACACTGTTTTCCTTTCTGAGTTGGGTCGGAATAAGCTGTTTCTCGAAACTACATTAGATTAGTTAACCACCCATGCTGTAAAGTTCCAAACATATCTATTGTGAGGCGCTATAGCAAAATAAGCAAATGGTTGCATCTAACCCAGACGCCCTTAACACATGTCTATCTCAAATGCGTCCAAACACCAAAGCTTCGTGGGCAGGCTTTGGTTCTATTCAAATTGCTGTCAGATCAAGTCACGGAAATCAGCTTTGGTTCAACTGCATCACATCACGCGATCTGTATCGAGCAATCAACGCCTCTCTTTCGCATGGTATCGTTCAGCTCTGAGATCTCATTGATGTAATACGGCTGTTCCGGAAGCTGCACATTCCAGCGCTGTTTCAGTTTCAGATCCCTCAGTGGTTCAAGAAAGACCGGGATCTTCTCCACGGGCTCACTGAACCAGTTCCCCGTCAGAGAGAGGGTAAACGCTTGGAGGTTCTTCATCTTGGTAATAGCCTTGCACGTGTCTAGCCACTGCTGACGACCGGCGGAGACGTAGATAGTCTTCACGGGATCTTTACTGGGAAGCCAGTGGCCAGGGAAAGCCCATTTCAGTTCCACCGCGCGAATCTCGTCCCACCGCTCCTGCGGGACGGTAGGACGCAGGTACGTAAGAGACCAAGTGTTGCTGAACTCAAACGTATTCAACGAGTACACCATATGTATGGACTCGTGATAACTAGTTTTCAAGTCAGATCCAAGCCGCTGGGAATAGCGGGAACATATCCTCAAGGCGACAATCAAGGAACACCTAGAACCGGTTCAACGCACATTTGTTTGCATGTCATTGGTAATGACAGCAGATCCCAGTCGTGTGGGACCTCGCAATCCTTCGCAGGCTGTGCGAGGCCGCCGCGACAGATGTCGCAGGACTCACGAAGCGGACAGCTAACGTGACAGAGTCGCCTACGGCATTTTTGGATGATATGCAGACGTCTTCCGCCCAGAACTTGCTCCCATATGATTAATCGAACTTCCGGAGAAAGTCTCGTCAAGAGCAAAGATGCATCTTGCGTCGGTGTTCCTGATTCCGTATCGGACTGCGGAGATTCCTCGGGGTGCTCTTGACCAGCAAGTGTGCGTCTTCTCGGTTTGGGTAGGGCGGATGGTTTATTACCTTCACTCCCCGTGTTAGTAACTTCAATTCTATAGGAGAATAATACATTGAACATGTCTGTTTTGAATACATCACGTATAGTATATGAGTGCAGAGAGATCTTTCTCCATACATGTCAGGGATGGATGGCATCACAAGACCACCAAAGCCATGCTACGATAGCTCTGATAGGGATGGGATTTAGTGCTGAGAACAGACCTCACTTACTCTGATATCGTTGCGCCAATACATCCTCCCAGGAGAATACCCCGTGTTTGATTCTCGCCATGGCTCCGGCGCTCCTTTGAGGCTAGGCAGACACTCGAGGCCTCGGACGGACGACGGCAGTCATCGTAAAGCAGAACGAAGTTGAAAACCGCAGCAGATGATATTTAATTAGTTCGTTCAAAAGCCTCGAGGTCACGAAGATCGCAGCTGTTCCATGGGCGCATCCGAGCTCGGACGTACGTGACGCGGTGGGGGCCCGAAACTAGGCGACGGTAACGATAGAGAGATTAGAGTCAGCAAACTATCCCTGTTACTACATACTTACACGATCCCCACTGCAGATTAAGCGCCAACGGCCGTGTATCTGGCCTTGTTCCTAAGTATAGAGTCCCTACCAGGGTTCCGCGTGCATCATGTTTGCTACAGAAAGGAGTAGCGCACCACCTACAACAAACCCACTCAAAGGTCTTCGAACGAGAGACTATGGTCGGATCTACTTGGATCGACGGCTTGATGGTGATGTCTTTCAAAGCAATTCATTCTCATTCTATGAACAGAAGTGTCTGTAAACGGGGGTATTGGGCATGTGTACCATTCCATAATGCTGGGTGCGCAAAAACCGACGAATATCCGTATGAGCAAAAGCAGATGTAGAAAAAAAAAAGAAAAAGGAGACCCAAGTTACTCATTCTGATTCTCCTGTAAAATCAAGACCAAGCGCCAAACCCCGAGTGTCCATGATGCAACCGTCTGCGGGAAACGAAGCCCGAAAGAAAACAGAATCCCATGTTTGGGTAATAGACTGAAAACGAAACAGAACGCCTGCAGCGATGGGCGAGATGATCAACTCTCTGCAACCTTGATCGCCACCCTTGCCTTGCCACCGCCTTCCCGTCGTACAAAACTGCGAGTTATGATGGGCATAGGCCTGCTATACCACGATAATAAAGCCAGGATCGATACCGTTGCGAAAGGGCAAAGGTCGGCGAGGTCACCAATCAATGAATAGGACATGCATGCCGACATAGATATCTGTGATGAAGCACATAGATCGTGGACGGTAGACCAGCAGTCTCACTTGCGGTACTTCTCAAAATGCTCAGGTTTAAACCAGCCTACTCTATCGTATGCGGTCCAGAGCTTGCTGGCCTTGTTGACATCTATCTTGCACGCTTGCTGCGCATCCGTCTTTCGAAACTCTTTTCCAATGTTGAGAGCTCTGACACGAGCCTCGAAGATGCGACGCTTGCTGCAGAGATACGTCGCGCATGAGAGACGTAGAGTGGCAGCCAGATTAATTTCAGCTGGATTGAGAGCGTGACGATCTGGGTCATTGCTAAGGTCGAGCATCTGGCCTTTCCAATCCGCCTTCAGCGCTTTGGTGTTGCCACCGAGCGTCTCGATTGGAGGAGAATAATCCTTCAATGATGCGTAGTCTGTATCGTCTCTGTTTGTTCCAATGACACGAGGCGCTCTTGAGGGGGCGGAAGGTGGCACATCAAAAGAATCCAGCGCATTCTGCTTGGGCGTCGATCTCGGTGTGCGCTTTACACGCGGCGTCCGGTTAGGTCGGGCCTGACTCGGTTGATTCCTCTTCGTCGGGGCTGGTGCGATTTTCTTCAATTTGGTCTGGGTCGATTCGGGACGATATCTGTTCATCATGGCCAGCTGTTGCTCCAGAGTTTCCCGCTCTCGCCTTGCCCAAGCGGCAGGATTGCGATTGTAGACAGTCGAAACGATGGGCACACATGACAATGCAAGAAGATATTCATCTCGAGTTGGCTTGTTCACCTTGTTCTCGAACCGTGCCATGTGAGAATTGATATGCTCATCCACCAGCGCCTCAGCCGCTGGGGCGAGTACCGGTTCAAAGAGAGGCTCGTCGGTGGCGACATCGACGATCGAGTCATTGCGAGGAAATAGTACGGGATCTCTGGATGAGCCGACGGCCACCTCCTTTTCGAAATGTTCTGATGTATTCGACTTTCTCTTCTTGTTGCCTGTGTAGGGAGTGACGGGTGGCGATGGCAGATCGACTTCAGATTGAGCACGCTTGCGCTCAGCGGAAATTGGAGGGAGTTTGACCTCCTGGTGGAGAGATGCGTCTTGAGACATGGTATATGGTGAGAATGTCGACTGGAAACTGTCGTAGGGCTTCGCCTCTGGAGGAGACATCAGGCTGGAAACCGATGGTAGATTATTCATGATGGTCCTCTGGTGTTGTCCAAACGGTGAAACGGCAGCAGGTGCAGTCATCACCGGGCGATATCGCGAAGATGGCACAGTTCAGACCAGGATTGAGGGGGAGGAGAGCGGGGGAGGATGGATGAATTGAGATGATCAAGTGTCAGCGCAAAGATATATTGCTGAAGGCGATGAATGACGATGCCTGGAGGCGCAAGGCGATGTGGAAGTTAATGGAAGTTGGTCCAGAACGCTGGCAAATCGCACGTGAAGATGATTTGTCAGGGCAGCTTCTTTGTGTTGTCTGGTGTGGCGATACGGGCGATGCGGTGGTGTTCCCCTCGGCGATAAGGCTGACAATGGCCGATAAAGCAATTTGGCCCGGTGGAAAGTGTTCGAGTGCAATTAATTCCTCTTGGTATATCCGAGACCAGCAAGAGAGAGAGGGAGACAGAGAGAGATAGGTAGAGAGAGAAGAGTGATGATGATGATGATGATGATGATGATGATGATGATGATGGGCAACCCAGGAACGTGGGGTCCTTGTCGCAGGATGAATCACAGGCGGGTAGATAAGTTAGGAGATGCGGGGAGGGGGAGGAATGGTTGCGGTGAGAGAGTTGATGTGTTGCAGCCTCCGCCGGCAGAGCGACTGACTGATTGATTAATCGATTGATGGATTAATCAAATTGATTGATTGATTCCAAGAAGGAGTGTTCTTGCAAGAAGAAACGGCAGTGCGAAAAGAAAAGGGAAAGAAAAAGGGGGGAGAGAGACAGTCCGAAAGGGGTCTGGGGGAATGGTGCCAATAAGTAGGTATTGGGTATCTCTTTTGCAGCTGACAATGAGTGAGTGATACTACTGAGTAAGAAGGCTGTGATGGATGGAGGGGGGAGCGGGGCGCGTAGAGAGAGAGAGAGAGAGAGAGAGAGAGAGAGACAAAAGGATGGATGGATGGATGACTGGTTTCAGGCTGCTGCGTTTCTCATCGGGTTGGGCCAAAGATTGCTAAGTAGCAGCACAGCCTTCTGGTGGTGAAGCCATTCGTATCTTGAAACGAATTCTTTCTCTTGCGCGTTTGTTAACTAGCAGTCAGTCCGTCAGCCAGCCAGTCAGCCAGTCAGTCAATCAATCAATCAATCAATCAGTTAATCAGTCAACCCAATTCAATCCAATTCAACTCAATCCGTTTTCCTCCTTTTTTTTTTGGTCTTTCCCACTATCGATTGATTGACTCTCGATAGTCGCTGTTCCTTCACCAATCCATTGACCAAGCCAACCCAATCCAATCGAACCCAGCTCCAACTCCAGCGCCCTCTCCCTCTCCGTCTCTCCCTCTCTCACTTCTCACATCTCCTCCCCCTCCCACTTCCATGGATAATCGGCTAGGCAGCCAGCCCCGACGGACGACGATAGGCCGATTGAGTCACATCGAGGGAGCAGCTGCCAACCAGCGCATGACATGGCCGGGGAACAATGACCAAGCCGACTGATTGACGACTGGCCCCGTGTGACTATCACTAGGCGGCACACTAGGCTCTAGCAAATCCGGGTGGGGGAGGGGCCAGCAAGGGACTCTTGAGTCTGGGGCATTCATTGATGTTCGTTTTATTTTAGGCCTGTCTACGCGCCCAACTGCGATCTAGCGCCGACGATCGCCCGTCCGACAAGCAATTGGCTAATCACGAGAACTGAGGGGTTAATGAAGCGACTTCAGACTATGGTATGTACTCTACTTGGGGTATTATTATTATTATCATACCGTATATGGTATCCTAGGCTTACAATTGTTCACGCAGTAGTTAATAATTATTATTATTAACCATTTGGTTAAGAGAAAACCGTTGAGCTCCCCCCGCCACCCACGTGGCAATTAGAGACAGACGCTATGGTACACTGTAGATGGTATCTACCGTGGTCATATGGTTCTGTCGAAGGAACCGCTCACGAGGAGCTATAGCCCCGATGCTTGAAGTTCCCAAGTGCAAGGATTCCCTACCATAAACACTGGAGGCACTATTACGGTTTATTTTTGTCTAGATGGTCCTTTGTGATCTAAAGGGCGGCGGATTCGCAGACATAGCCACTATATATATATATATATATATATACTGTAAATACCATCGCTCAGGGCTCAACGCGCTGCAAGGAATGTTGCATCACATGTCGCCTCCTCAATCTATCCAGCATTGCGAAGACATGTCGTATACCTTCGTCCAAAGCTCCCAGCTTGCGCTGGTCTCTTGCCTGTAGGACAGCGTGAGAGTGTCCATTCGGCCATCCGGCGGGATCACGGTTACATCGTGTATTCGATAGACAGCGGGGATCGTGGGAAGTGATAGACCCCATCGGGTCGGAGAACTATTAAGGTCGAAGTCGTCGGCAGTATCCAAATCTCGATAGAAGTCCCGTTCTTCGGTGCGAATTACCCTCCGCGCCACACATGCGGTGATGCTCGCGTCCCAGATACCCTCCCTTCGCGAAGAAGATTCCAGTAGTCTGATCGCTTGGAGTCTTATTCGGTGGACGCGACATTTGAGGGCGGTATAGTAAAGTGGTGGACTCCATCCGATATGGATGACTGATCTGGACATGGGCGGGTAATGCCCCTGCCCGGGTAGTGCCTGGGGTTGCGATCTGGTCGCCCGGATCTTCGATATGACTATCAGTCGATCGATGATAGCGATGAATTGGTCGGTGTACAGATCGAAGATTGACTCGTCATCCGGCCATTGACAAGCCTGTGCCATGATAGTGATCATGGCGTGGTATGCACCTAACATCTGGTAGGCGATTTCTTCATCTTCATCATCTTTTCTACATAGCTCTTGCCTGGATGCTTCATACGCAGCGAACCACTGTGCGAGCTCTGTCTGAAGGAGTCGTTGACAGTTGCCTAATGTTGAGGGATGCTCGTGAGAGAGAGATGCTGCTGGGTCCTGTGCGTGGCGGAATTGCTCGGCCAGATAGAGGACTTTGCTCAACAGCCGCTCCATCGGTACCCATGCTTCGTCGAAAGAGCGAAATCTGGGGATCTGTGTCATCGTTATAGAGCCTTGCAGGAGTATGCAAGGATCCTGATGGCGCTGTCTTAATAGAACGACCTGGAGGTACAGCTTGGAGAATGCCTCGACGATCCAATCGTCGACGTCTCCTTGAGACGGCTGCAGGCGGATGATCCCCTTGTCGCGCGTGCTGGATGGGTTCTGCAGTTCGCTGAGAATCTTCAATCCACTTTGGAGATGAGTTTCAGCAGTTCGAAAGCGCCCACGCAGATATTCAAGACACACGAAGACCACACACGCAATCAGCGCGATGCGAACTGACGAGCCATTACTTTTGTCGGGGGTATGAGACCGGAGGTGGCCAATGGCCTTGGTGTAATGCCGCAACATAAACTGCTCCTGGTCATCAATGGCGTCCCTGGCGCACTCATCTTGGTTGTCGAGATGGAGAAACTTTCGTCGATGGACGGCGCTCAAGGTCATGATGGCATGCCAGATCGCGGGCTCAGTCTGGCCCGCCTGGAAGAGGAGCGTGTTCCAGAAGGGCAGAGCGAAGAATCCGGGCATCTTCGTGACGGTCCGCAGCTGAAACCATTCGAAGTGTTGTCCTTCGTCTGCCGTCCTTGAACGGCTGGCGAGAGACAACAACATGACGCCGCCATGCTGCGATGCCAGGGAGCGCTGGCGGTTGCCGTATGAGTCGCCGCCTCCCCAGATGCCGTAGCCATCGCAGACCCGACCGGTAGAGACGCACCGGTGACAAGCTGGACGGGCTTCATCGCATTTGACCTTGCGGATCCTACATGGCGCATGAGCTGCGATCTTTGCCGAGCGATGGGGAGCAACTTGCTTACTTGCAGGTCCGGCAGCCGGATTTCACGCGGGCCTGGCGTCTCCGACGGTTGATTCCCAGATGATCTGACCGGCCATTTTGATCCATCATGACCAAGGCGTGGAATGTCCCACGATGCCCGCCCGAGCAAGGCGAAGAGCAGGGAAAGGGACGTAAGTATATACGCCGCGGTGCGGGATGTCGATTGGCCGGCTCGGAAGTGGTTTGGGAACAAATGGTCCAGCTTTTCTCGATAGCAGGCAACCTCATTGGCGGGCTCGGCAATCTAGCATTTTGGTTGGACAGTGACTATAATTACTATATAGTCCGTCAACGACTGGTCGTTATACACCATACTTCTTGAGCTTAATTATGCTAAGCTATTTAATTATATGCCGTCGTACAAGACATGTTGATTGGTCTGCTCGGAATATCAGCCGTTCGACTGGTAGAGAGAGAGAAAAAAGAAGAAAACAATGGGACAACGCTTGCCATTGCGGGCTCTCGGGGGGTCTACTTACCTATGACCGGACTTTATGGATTGCTCAGCCTTCCATAAATGCAAATCAACGACTTGACAACCTCACGGAGTTTGAGGGGACCCGAAATTGGGCACGACTGGTGCCGGTCTCGACCGAAGAGCGCTCCCTATAAATATAGATAATGCTTCCATGCTTCGAAGAATCTACATCTCGTCAATCATCCACTCTCACCGTACCACGACCAATCTTCCTGACTTCCCTGCTTCAATATGTCCGTCCAATCGGTCCCGCTTCGCCAGCTAGGCAAGGATGGTCCCAGCGTGCCAGCGTTGGGTTACGGGCTGATGGGCTTGTCTGGTCTCTATGGCAAACCGCCTGGCGATGAAGAGCGCTTGAAAGTCTTGGACCGGGCCTTTGAATTAGGTGCCAGATTCTGGGACACCGCTGAGTGAGCCTCAAGCGTCCTTGAATCCTGACCGCGCTGACCCACCGCAGTGTCTACCTCGATAACCAAGAGTTGATCGCCAAATGGTTCAAGCGCACGGGAAAACGAAACGAAGTCTTCCTGGCGTCCAAATTCGGGATCGTCATGGACCTGGAAAAGTTCCAGTTCAAGGGCATCAATAGCTCAGCCGAGTATTGCAAGCAGACGTGCGAGAAGAGTCTGCAGAGACTAGGCGTCGATTACATCGATCTCTGTGCGTGCACCAGCTCCCCCCCCAAATGACGATTGCAGGCTGTCTTCATTTCGAGAACTGACCCTTACAAGATTATGCCCATCGTGTCAACCCTGCCACCCCAATCGAGCAGACTATGCGAGCGATGGCGGAACTGCAAGCGTAAGAAGACCGCTCCTTAAGTCAAGACATTGATCTAATGACTACCAGAGAGGGGAAGATTAAGCACATTGGACTGTGTGAGGTCAATTCAAACACTCTTCGACGGGCCTGTAAGGTCGCGCATGTCGCGGCTGTCCAAATGGAATACTCTCCCTTCGTGCTGGATGTTGAAACCGAAGCCAGCGGGAACTTGATCCAAACTTGCCGGGAACTCGGCGTTGCCATCGTCTGCTCTTCTCCGCTTGGACGAGGCATGCTCACCGGAGCGTTCATGGCCAAGGAGTCTATCAGCGGTGAAGGAGACATGCGCGCAAAGGAGTTCCCTCGCTTCCAGGAAGAGAACTTCAAAGAAAATGTCGAGCTTGTCGCCCAATTCAAGACATTCGCCGACAAGAAAGGATGTACACCGTCCCAGTTGGCGATTGCCTGGCTTCTAAAACAGGGTGATGACGTGATCCCGATTCCTGGAACTAAGAAGATCAAGTACCTCGAGCAGAATTGGAATGCTCTCAATGTTCAGCTCAGCGATGGAGAGCAAGCTGAGATCCGCAAATTCCTGGAAAGCGCCGATGTTAAGGGATACAAGTCCACACCTGCGGCTAGGCTAATCGATCGGCAGGACACGAAGGAGGATGTTTGATATTAATCGCCCAAAGAGACCTTAGCAGGTCTTAGAGCATTCGCCTATACTTTATAGATAATCTGAAGACTCTTTGGTTCCCAGTTTCTATTTTCAGATAGATTTTCACTAATCTACTCTATATAGGCTTGAATAATCACTACATTTGTGCGCGACTTGGAACAGGATTGCAAGCTGATTCAACCGAGTAATAACTCAAGGCTTCTATTCCTAGATCGTCCCGCGGTAAGGGAAGATTATATTTAAGTCTTTCTTTCGTTCTTCTTCTTCTTCTTCTTCTTCTTCTTCTTCTTCTTCTTCTTCTTCTTCTTCTTTTTTTGAATTGGAGAATCGTGCTTGTTTATCTATACCTTCACTAGAGGTAAATATACTTATTACCTTAAACCAACAAATTATAATTACCTAGTAGCCGAATAATAACACTAGTAAGTTATATAGCTTAGGCGAATTCTAGGGTATAATAGATTATCATCGACTCAGTGATAACTATTATATATCAAGATATACTGTAGCTAAGTCTGAGGGACATAATCGCAATGTTCACAAATGGCATGACCACACTGACGGCACGCAGAGCTATCCTCAAACACCTGTGGACCAAGGCCACATTTACACTAATAGGGTATTATCTTATTTTTAGCTTTAATCGCCTTATAAAATTCGAGGTGTTTATAAAAGCTTACACATATATACATGTATATGCCCCCTGGGAGTATCACTGGATTCGAAAGGGAATAGCAATAACGGTGCCTTTCACTGTGGCGATAGAGGTTTATCTGGCTCTGTTAATAACCACATTATGTTTTACCAGTGTTCCTGACATAGCACAATTCCATTACTATGACTTACTTGATTCGCCATAATTCCAGACTGTACAAGGCATATACAACCGCATTGTGGCAGCTCTAAACTATTAATATAGGGCGATAGGTAAGAGCCATCGGGGATATAGCTTTTGCAATCCCGAAGAAAACACATAGTATAGCGAAGAAAAACCTTTAGCAAAACCACGTTCTTGGGCCTTTAGATAGATTTATCGCCAGAAATAATAGATCTACATAGGCTTAGTGCGGGGTTTTGTCGAAAACGTGACCGCTTCCTATTGGCTTGGGTTCTCGCTTTCAGTCTTATATTCAAATTCCACATCTGGCCCC